GTCAGCGGGTGGTGAGCAACTGCATTGTGCACCACTGGTCTTCCTCGGGTTTTATTTCTCTCTCTTTTTTGTTCCTTTTTGTTACAATTATGGTTGTTACTATATTTCAGTTATGAAACTGCTCTTATCTCAGCCCACGAGTTTTACTTTCTTCCCAGTTCTCCTCCTCATCCCACTGGGGGAGGTGGGAGCAGTGAGCGAGTCATGTTTAGTTGCCAGCTGGGGTTAAACCATGACAACCCTAAGTTTTTCTTTACCTTTTAATTCAGAAAACTTACACAATGCTACTTCACCTACCTGTTGGAAATATCCTCAATTTCCTGAAAGATTCTGTTATTCTGAGTGACACGAAAGTACTACTTTGGGCTTACTTTGGGCATGATGGTCAAATATTCTTCTTCTGCAGTAAAGGTACAAAAGAAGGTCCCATCGCACTATCCCTAAACCCGACGCACACCTCCTGTCTTCACAAGTAACTGCTCTGAAGTTCTTCTCCCTGCTGCTCAGGCTACAAACAATTGTGAAGCCTCCTACTATTTTAAGTTGTGACTACAAGATACGGACAGAAGTGCCAAGTACGTTGCCTGCAGGCACGTTCGGATTTTGGCTGTTCCAGGTCGCTCTGGAACCCACAGTACGATTACAGGCATCGGAATTGTGCCCGGATACATCGGCTTTAAAAGATGCTTTCTGGACCTCTTACGTATCACAACATTGCGGGTCCGACTGCGACACCTTGGAGCAAGCGGCGCCAGAACACACGTTCTTTCTGCCGAGAGCAGAGCAGCCCCACGCTCACCCAGACACGGCGATAAACAAACACAACGCAACGTCACGATACGCGACGCTCCGGCGTCCCTCGATCGGTCGGTCAGACGTGCTCGGCAGCACCTCGGCAGTTACAGCACGCACGGCTTCCCAGCCGGCCGGAGCCCCGCTGGCCACCAGCTCCTTACCCTTTAAGCGGTGTATGTCGGCCATCTGGTAGGAGATGTTGTTCTGCAGCTTCACCTGAAAGGAAGGAAGGGTTGTGTCAGTGCAGGCGACCAGCAGGGCGGAGGCCGAGGCTGCGGGGACTCGGGCGCGTTTGCTTTCGCTGGGAAGGCAACGCCTGCAAAGGGCGATCAGGATGACGCGCCCGGCGCTCCTGTAAGTACAGCGATGACGTGCACAAAGGTCTTGTAAATATGAGGAACGTATATTTAGTTATCTGCAAGCGATGTCGCCAACCTAAACACTATATTTAGGCTTTGCTAACAAGGACTTAAAATCTATTTCTGTAACGTATTTCTATCAAAAAAATAGATTCTGCCAGGACTAAAATAAACACGCTGCATTCGGATACTGCAGGAGGAGACGGCGGATTTCCAACGTCAAAGCCTAAGCGTATAAAAATAAACACATAGCACCGTTAGCAAAACCAATCTTTACCTAATGTATATTTAAAGTAAATTTTTTATGTGATGCTACCTAATATTCATAACACACGTTTTATTTTTAAGAGGGAATCTGACACCAGTAGACTTCCACCACCGCTGTGAAGTTGCTATTTTTAGTAAAGAAAAAAAATAGGAGTTACAATAAATAAGGACTGCACGGCCACAAAGTTGTTAAGGAAAGGTGCTTTGTCTTGTTCTTGCACACAGACGTATGTAAAGGCAAAAGGGGCAGAAATGAGGAGAGATATCCACACGTAGAACATACTGAGAAAGAGGAAAAAGGTGCCGTCAACAGGCCACACTGACGCTGTCAGTATCTTCCTTGTGGTTTCACGACCAACATAAACGGTGACTCGAGAAGGGTGCTACAGAGGGCTGTCATTCTGGGGTGACCAGGTCAGAGCGAGCTCTCGGAGCACCAAACCGAACACGGGCACACCTATCTGGCACGGGACACGCACAGGCTATTACGATTCCCACGCAGCTCCTGGAGCTCCATGGCAGCCAGTTACCTACGTTTCCTGTCAAAACAGACACAAAAGACAGATGCCCTTAACTTTAAGCTTCCTCCGCCCACCTCTACCTTCCCTTTTATCAAATTATTCATTTCCTTAAAGACGTTTCACATAACGGTTTCGTGTTCCAAAGAGCACTCGAAGTGCCTGACCCGCATGGGCCGAGGCGGCGGTGGCAGCTCCAGGAGCCGCGGCCGGGCAAGACCTGCTGAAACGGGGATGCTGGGCAGAGCAGCGCGCCCCGGGAGGCTCGCAGCCAGCGGCTCCCGTCACAGAACAGAGGCTCCTTACGGAACGGCGTGCTCCAGCGGGAGATCAGCGTGCGCCAGACTGCAGCATCCCGGCTCGGCGCTGGCAGCGGCACACACGGGCAGCGCTGGCACCACTCCTGCCCCACAGGCGAGAACAAAGGCCACGAAGGCTTCTGGAGCGCCGAGAGGCACCGCCGGCCCGCCCAGCCGCTTCACACTTCACACGGCTTTCCCCAAAAACCCCTGAGAAGGGCAGATGATGCAATCTTTCGGTAACCAGAGAGCCCGGAGCGGAGCGCTCGGAAATCCCGCGCAAACCACAGCCGCCAGCAGGGACACTGCAGGAGCCTCCTCCCACCCTGGGGAGCCCCGCGCCCCAGCAGCAGCTATGCACCCGCTCTGCCCACCAAGGCACGTCAGGCTCCAGTCACAGGATGCGCCCAGAGCAACACTGGGGGAGGCGAAAGCCTGTGCTGGACTCCCCGTGCTCTATTGCAAAAGCACAAGTAACCCTGGGGCAGGGACGCCGCACAGAAGCACAAAGCAGAAGTGACCACCAAGCCTTCCTCTTCCAACAGGCAGCCTGCCAGCTCTCCACCAGACAGACACCGGGGCAGGGGAACAGATACCAAGAGTAGTTGAGCATTAATGACAAAGCACCCTTCCCTGTTCTGCAAAGCCACTGGCAGCAACGACCAAATTGTTCCTGCCTTCCCCTCCAGGGCAGTTCTTTGCCAGAACCCCATAAATCTACCAAGGAGGTCCTGGGAAGCAGCAGGTTCTGTTTTCAAACCTTCATCTACCAGAATTCATAATACATAAAGCCTTCCCACTGCCTTGCTCCTGCTTGTCCCATAAAACACTTGACTTGCAGTGGGCCGGGGGCGGGCTGCCTGGCTGCTAACAGGAGCTTGGTTTGAAGATAGCATCGGTTTTTGTCACACAATCTTTCATTTTGGCCATTTTGAGTTTCAGAGAAAAGTGACAGAATTTATATCCAAAACAGCTTGGCTGACAGCAAACGTCCCTCATCTGAAGCACGGAAAGGGAAGAAGCTTTTTTATGATTCATGGGATCTGTTCCACCTACACATGCAAAAAACCACGCTCCACAAACGATGGCACAAGTCCAGTTCTGTGAGCTGTGTCCTCCTGGAGTCTAGACCTATCTGTCCTGTTCAAATTTCTCAGGGGCTTCTCAGAGCCTTTCCAGAGCAGCTGGGATGCATAAAAAGGAATCCTCTGCAGCCCAATGAGCTCTGCACAGGACAAACCCATCAGAAGTCCTGTGCGTGTTGGAGCCACGTACACGCAAGGCAACCTTCCAGAGCCGGCTGGGTGGTTAACAGTCGTGGCAAACAACGGAAGGTGCTGCAAGGGAGAAAGTTATAAACACGCTGGAGCTTATCCCTGTATGGCAGGACAACCGAGGCGGTCTTGCTTCCCCATGAAGTAAGGGGTAAACAGTAAACATCCACCCGTATTTCCCTGTGGGTCGTTTCTTTATCCAACAAGAACCCCCTCCGATTGCCCGGGCAGGTGCCCGTGCTCCTCCGCGCAGCCTCACGAGCCCGGGCACTCCCAAAGCATTGCTGGGGCACGGGCTGAACAGCCCAGGAGAGCTGTTTAAAAGTCTGTTTGTTTGCACGGGGTCTACGTGCCACAATTCCATGATCTTTCCACCGCTGTCAGCTGCCTAGTTCAGAACAGGCAGCGCTCTCGTCACGCAGTCAGCACGGCGTCAGGGAGGACACTGCGGCCACCAGGAACGCACAGCAAGACTGGAGGATGCGCTCAAAGCGTAAAGCCACAGCGCTGCAAGCCAAGGAGCTATCAAGGCGTTTTGGCAAGAAAGAACACAACCGGCGGCTCCCGACGATGCTTTACTCAACAGCTTCGTCCTACGAGGCCCCACTGCCAGGCACCAGCCAAGGGGCAAGGCTGTGCGAGACACTGGCGGTGCCAGCAATAGCTCTGGGAGGAGGCCGAGTTGCTCCCCAGAGGGCTATGAACCCCCCGCCACGGGATGGCTGCTGGCTCTCCACCACTAGTTCTTGCCATTCAATCGTTTTCTGGAGCTATTGCAAAGGGGTGTGCAAAGCTGTGGAAAAGGTATCCTCACAGCGTGCTGCAGAGAAACCTGCAACGCTGCGGGAACGACCACTACCTGCGCCACCTCCCCCGGCACGGGGCGAGCACTGCCCTTTGCCTCCCAAGAGCAGCTCCAGAAGAGAACTCCTCTGGTTGGTTCCCAGCCCAGCAGACCATCATGAGCTCACCACAGGGTGACAGGAGAATTCCCAAGAACTCACGCCTGTTTGCCGTTTTGGTTTTACCACCAGTCACTAGGTCACGCTACGACGTTTGCTCACAAGAGCAAACAACGTCCTGGTGCAGCGTAACTGGCTCGTTCCGCGTGCAGGGGGAGGGAGGAGAGAGACGAGGGCTTGGGCTTGACTTCAGATAGCGCTGAGCCAGGAGGCAGCTGCCTGCAGAAACTCGAGTTGCCTCAATGCTGGGAAACGCGCTTGATTTACGTGACCACCCGGTGAAGACAAAGGAGCGTGAAGCAGCAGTGACCTACGCTAACCACCAGAGCAGCACCTTTCAAAGGAGTTTTCCGTGATACAAGCCTAGGTCTGTCACCATCACCTGACACTCCAGGAATTACCAGTGTTGGTGTTTTATTACATATCCCTAATTTCACAAACAGACCAAGATCATTAGTAAGAACCAGTTTGTTCAAAGAACACCCCTGCCTTATTCTGAGAGAAAAAAAAATTACCACTCAAGCCTTTTTTGGTCAGACACTTCAGGCCTACTACTCGCTATTTTTTTTTTTAAAACACCTATTTGCTCTCTAAAACAGAGCTCTATTCCCTACTCTCTAAAGTACAGTCACTTAAAGGGTGTTTTTTTTAGAAAAAACAGGACTGTTGCCCCTGAGAACAGGACAGTAGCTCACACGAGAGGAAAAGAGAAAGGGCCAGCGACTGGGTATCGATAAACCACACTGCTCTTCCTGCCCGTTAAGGCACACTGAACACAAGAAGAGTGGATATTCAAGAGCTACGAGCTCACATGACCTTAAACGGCAGCTTCTGGAACAAAGGAGGAAGATACAGGGCCCACACTGCAGTACCCATATAACTAACAGTAAAATTAATTTGTAGCGTTTACTGGTCACGCTTCCCTTGCTCCCCTGTGAGATGCCAGGCTCGGAGCACTCAAAGCCCAGCTGGATTTGTGGAGGACAGCACAGTGGTGAGCAGGCAGGTGCAGCTCAACAGCCCCTCAGCTTCCATCCTGTGCATCAAAGCCGGCTCTGGCTTCCAGCCACCCTTGCCAGAAACCCTGACTTAAGTTTCTCTCCTGGTGTCCTACAGTAAACCATCACGGATTCCCAACAAAATACCGATTTCTGGTATGAAAAGCAAGCCTTGCCGTGAGCCCAGTGGGCAGCAGCTCAGCTGAATCCCAGCAGGGGAGTTTTACACGAGGCAGCGCGTTACAGCCCCGCATGAGACGCGTTCGCTGCCCACGAACCTGGGCCGAGTCACGGGGACACAAAAGCAGCTTCACCCACAGAGAGAAGAGCCGTACCACAACCACCCGCTGCGTGACCTCCCCTGAATGTCCTCAGCCGCTTCTCCGCCGCGCTGCAGCCCGGGGGCAGCTTCAAGGCGTTTCTCAGCCTTCAGCAGACTCCACCGTTCACTCATCCAGCCGGGCCGTGAACTCGTGGTGTTTTACTGTCCTCAACAGCCTGAGAGAGGGATTTCCATCCCTGGATGCTGGCCTTTATCGAGGAGGGCAACAACAACTAAACCTATTTGCCCTCAGGAATTAAATTTAAAACAAACAACAGCCACAAAACAGCCAACAGTGCAGAAAACTTTTCTGTTTTTTACAACAGGAAACATCTTTGTTAAAACCTGCTTCGAGTTGAGCTTCTCTTACTCATCAGACAACTGTTTTGGTATTTGTATAGAATACTTACTTATAACTTGAACTAGCTTTTATAGTATCACAATACTTTTAATCACAATGGTGTCAGTTACATTTATTTCCCGTGGGAGCACTGGTATCAGGCTTTTTATACCAATTTCAGAAAAAAAGTTAAAAAATTTAGAACCCACATTTGCTGAACACACAGATGGCTTAATTTTAACAGCTCAGCAAGATAGAAAACAAAACTTTAATACAAACTTAATCAGCTTGAAGGAGTCTAATTCTGTAATGAGACATATATGTATTCAGCTTTTTCTGTCACAATTAAATGCATTTTCTTACACTGCTCATCAAACGTGTGATATGAAAGGGCCAGAAAAACAAACGCAGCCAGTAACAAGTCTGAGTGTGTTGTATTTCCATAAATCCTGCTGTGATAAACAGTGTTCAATTAGCAGAATGACGAACTGCATGCCAATAGAGAACACGCTGCCTTACACGACCGAGGGAGAGAACCCGGCTGCTGCCTCCTCTGTGCAGAGCAGAGCTGCCTGCGATCCCTGTGAAAGCGGAACGGTGAAAGGTGATGCATTCACCGATTTTCCGTTCCACAACAAAAGAAATCCCGGGGCCACCTCCGCATAAAGGGCCCAGCCGACTTCTGTGCTAGCTTGTCTCCTGTGCTAGCTTGTCTCCTCGCAGCTGATGAAAACGCCACGTTATGTCAGCAGCAAGAGTTCTTTTCTCTCAAGTACGCGCTGACCGCCCAAGAACCAGACCCTGCCGTGCCAGGCGCCTTGGGAGAGACAGGGAAAAGAAGCTCAGGGGTCCTGCACCTGAACATTACACTACTTTCATTTTCCTTGAGGCCAAGCAAACTGCAGTTTTAAGGCTGCGTACAGCTTTCTGAGTGATCACAGAAAATCAAATAATCACATCAGAGGAGGGAAGCTCAAAACCCCCCAAATATTAAAAACAGCCGTCTGGAAAACAGCGAGCTGCAGCGCTCTGTTCGCACCCACACCGCCTTGGCTGGGCATTTCCAGCTCCTTTCGAGGATGCATTTAGAAACCCGAGCGTCCTGCTCATGTCCACCCAAAGCCAAGGCACCAGCTGCAGGAACCAGCGCCTCCGGGGGCTCACTTCACCCTTCGGCTGCAGACGCTGCGGGGACAGCGGTCAGCGCCAGGCGAGAACAAACGGCGCCCCCC